CCACACGAGTTCCCTGTCTCCGCGCTCAGGCCCCGCACTCCGCGAGCACAGCCAATCCGCGAGCATCTGGCGAAGTTCCCGCCCTCCAGGAGGCTTCCAGCCACGCGATTGGTCACTGGGGAGGGGCCGTGAAAGCCCCAGGCGCCGGGGCCACGTGACATTACAGACTCGCGCTTCTTAAAGCAACAGCTCTTGGGCGGTTGCGGAGCCGGGGTGTATGACTTGGTGCACTTTCTAATAGCCATGCTTTCAAGGAAAGCGTCCCCAGGCCCTTGGTCTCGCCGGCTCCTGAGTTTCCGAGCGCTTGCATTTATGCGACTGCAGCAAAGTTTCAGACTGGCTTCGTTTTCTCGCCCTCTTAGTGGAGCTCAGCTTCCCTCTCCAGCATCACCTGCCACTTACCTTTCCCAAACGATTGGATAAGGCTCCCGGGTTGGTACTCTTCGCGGCCAGAAGGGTCTTCAAACCCACGTGCAAGTTCCAGACCGCCGCGCTCTGCTCATCCGGGCACCCTACCTCTTATCTTCCCCGTTCCCGTCCTATAAGCCAAACACAAACCCTCACCTACCTCGCCGACTTCCTTAACCGGTTACACGCACACGGGCAATTCTCAATTGAGAAGCAAGGGGGCTTATTGACGACAAGATGGTATCTGGAGTCAGACCAACCTGGGTTCAAGTTCTAACACTGCTTTTGGACGAATTACCTAACCACATGTCCCCCATCTACAAAATGGGTAATAATGCCCACCTCACAGTTACTGTAGGTTGAGATGTTTGTGAAAGCGCTTTGCAGAGTTGGTTGAACTTACTTTCACTCACACATCATGAGGCAGACAGTAAACTAATTCCTTTATGTTTATCCAAGAAGGGGCAGTTTGCACGAGCGATTCTAGAATGGAGCTTTCTGCAGGGGAGCGACAATTCAGCACATTCCCAACACTACCTGACGTCCCCAAAGGAAAGGAGAAGAGGCTTTGGGCCAGCCAGGGCCCACCGCTGTCTCGCCCCGTAGTGGCATCTGCGATGACTCACTGATTGCTGCCGATTCCCTGGGGATCAGTTTTTCTCATCTAAGTGACAGTGTGTAAACTTCCATAGAGGACGCCACCTTGTCTGACAGCCAGGACAGCTGTGCAGAGAGCGGGCGCGCCAGGCGCCTCTCCAACAACCCCACGCCCTGCCACCTCGTTTGTTTTCCCGAGAGCAGCTCGGGATGCTTGACAATGTCTCCTAAGGGGAACGCCGTATTTTAGGAACTGGATCGTCCCCCACCGGTGTCCTCCCCCCGCATCCCAGACAGCCATCCCGTGGTGCACCCGTCTCAGTCAAAAGGAGACCAAAGGCGCACGCAAATGAGGACAATCGAAGGAAGATTTATCGCCTGCAAGATTGATCAAGGTGTGGGTGGAGACAGGACAGCATGAATCCCAAGGGCAGCTGCGAGGGCCCAGAGTGGGATAAAGCCTGCTGCTGTCAGGTGAACAGTGGCTTTCTGTAGAATAGTGGTTCTCAACCTTCTGGCCCTTTAAATACAGTTCCTCATGTTGTGACCCAACCATAAAATTATTTTCGTTGCTACTTCATAACTGTAATGTTGCTACTGTTATGAATCGTAATGTAAATATCTGATATGCAGGATGGTCTTAGGCGACCCCTGTGAAAGGGTCGTTCGACCGCCAAAGGGGTCGCGACCCACAGGTTGAGAACCGCTGCACTAGAGTGTCCACCTGTGCGTGAAGGGAAGGACTGAGGTCCTGAGTCAGATCACATCAGCAGAATCTGGGCCACTGGCCGATCTTGCTAAGATACTGGGCTGGAGAGTCATGGGCAACCTTGGAGGCATGAGACAATCGAAAGAGGAAGGCCCAGGGACCCGAGGGATGTTGGGAAACTACCCAAGCTGCCTGGGACTCCTTTGCCCCCAACCTAAGTGGGGACAAAGGCCAGGCAAAGCAATAATTATAGGAAGTGTGGCCACAGATCCAGCACAGTAACTTTCCTGGATTTAACAAACTTGGGAAAGCTGGCGCAGTGCTGAGAGCTGGAGATATTAAAAAGACAGGGATGCATGTGAGTCTACAATTATCTCAATAAAACAACTGAAACTTTACATAATTAAAAAATGGAAAGGGAGACAATAGCAAAATAATGTTTCTGACCCACCACAGAGGCCTGAATGGAACAGCTTCTAGCGGTCCAGGAGTTGGGAAGGCAAGGCGAACAGAACCACATTCGTACCATGTTCCAGGCCTTATTCTGGATGCTTCCGGTCGGGGTTCTGGACCTTGGCACACTCATATTTGAGGCTAAATAACTCTGTTGGGGGGGAGGGGTTGTGCTATATACCCTGTAGGATGTTTAGCCTCATCCTTGGCCTCTACCTACTAGAAGGCAGTAACCTCCCCCCCCACACACACACCCTCCTCTTGCAACATCCAAAAATGTCATTGCCAAATATCCCCTGGGAGCCAGTCACCCCAGACGACAGCCACTGCATTGTGTAGTAATTATGATTAAGTTGAATGCCTTTCATGGGCCAGGCTCTATGCCAGCCACTTGCACATACAGTAATTCCTCACTGGATGCTCTTGATAGGTTCTGCAACTTTAAACAAAATGACATATAAGGAAATCAAGTTTATGAGACTAATTGACACAAGAGTTAAGTTGTATAAGGAAATCAAGTTTATGAGACTAATTGACACAAGCAAGAGTTAAGTTGCAGCCTGGCCGGTGTGGCTCAGTGGTTGAGTGTGGACCTGTGAACCAGGAGGTCACGGTTCTATTCTTGGTCAGAGCACATGCCTGGGTTGCAGGCTGAATCCCCAGTAGGGGGCATGCAGGAGGCAGCTCATCAATGATTCTCTGTCATCACTAACGTTTCTATCTCTCTCTCCCTCTCCCTTCCACTCTGAAATCAATAAAAATATATTTTAAAATAAAATTTAAAAAATATATTTTTTAAAATAGTTAAGTTGCTAAGGAATCGTATCAAGGTTATAAAGAAATGTTGAATGAAACAATGTTGAAAGAAACATTATTCCAGAACCTGCAGTAGCAACCATCCAGAGGGTGGTATGCCCATTTCACAATGAGGAATCGTAGTCACCAGCTAGGGCAGAACCCAGTGCCGCAGCAACTCCAATACCAAGCTTTCTACCGCACAGCGCTGCTTCCCAAGGGCGTCGGGAAGAACTGCTGAGGTTGCTAGATTAGAAGGCAGCAAGCAGACAGGCTGGGAAAGGGCACTCCAAAGTAGACCTATAGTGTTGCGGAGTGTGAGGGAGAGCAGGGCGTGTTTAATTCTGCAGTCACTTCGCGTATTCTTCTTGTTACTCCAAGGAGAGGATGAGCCCTTTCACACCTTCAGTTCAGGTTGGTGTGGCGACTGCTCAGCACACACAGGCCTCTGTTGTTGTGCGCAGCCTGGGAAGGTCTGTGTGGGGACCCCCCAGTCTGTGTTCTTACTGTCTTGTTCACCGCTCCTTGCTTGCTGTCTGCTCCCAGCTATGCTCTTAGTAATTTTCAAGGGTGAGGGAAGGGAAAACATGAGGAAACTACACTGGTATTCAGAGCGGCTCTCACGATACCATTTGCTGGAAGCCAAAGAGGAAACATTAGTACCTTTCCTTCAATTAGGGCAGCTTTAGACTTCGGCGAAAGGGTTGTTAGTCAGATCCCCTGGGTGGCGGAGGCTAGTTGAAGCATCAGGCCAAGAAATGAGGGGCAAGCAACAACTGCAGTTTAAAAAAAAGAGCTGTTTTTACCGAAGAAAGAGGGTAACACTTCCATGAGAACCAAAGACCGTTTAGGGTCAGAACACAGTCAAAGTCTGGGAGTGGCTGCTAAGCCGGAAGGAGTCAGATGTCTTCTGGGACCAGGAGCCTGCCTTGCCTCCCCCACAGCAGCCAGGCTGGGCCTCTCGACCACATGGGAAGTGTGACAATCACCCTCCCGAGATAAGGGTCAAGCAAGGTAGGAGGCGCAGTGTTCAGCTCACAAGCCCTAGAAGAGGAAAAGCAGTCGGTTAGACCCAGAGCCTGGGGCAGCTGTCACTGCACTTCCCATCCCCAGGGGCACATGTCCTGGATCTTCCAAGCAGACCACATGACAGTTTCCTCCATCTGTGACTCAGCATTAAATCCCATCTCCACCCCTGTCCCCACCCCCCCCTTCCCCAGGCAACCCGGACACTCACCCAAGTAATCATCCATCAAAGAGCCGATCGCAAACTGCAGGAGGGAAGGTAAAAAGGGAATGAAGCCTAAGCGCGCACAGACCTATCCTCTAAGCCCAGCCCCAGACTTTCTGCCCACCCCGCCTCTTTGGGCAGAAGAGCACAAACCCCCAGGAAGCCTCGGTGGTAAGAGACCAATAGCTCCTGGCTCTGCCTGGCACGGGAAGGGAGGCGGGCAAGAGACTCACAATGTCGTTCTTATCCACACGGGTCCCCACAATCTTCAAGCGGATCTCATCGTCCTGCTGAATCACAATGTCCTGGGAGGAGGGAACAGAACACTCAGACACACACACACCCACCCCCGCCCCGCCCCCAGCCAATCCTCTCCCTCAGAGCGGCTCCTGCCCTCCTGTCTCTGACTTCTTCCCACCGACACTCACCTCATCCACTTCCTTGTAACACGGTGGGTTGGAGTTAGGATCAAACTCCATCTCGGACGGGATGGACTGAAAGTAAAGGGAGACTGGCTGAGCACTTTAAATGAAGGCTGCAGGAGACGGGCATGAATGGGTGTCTCCCCCCAGCCCTGCCCCGCGTGCCCAGGCTCACATGGCGGGAGATGAAGCAGGACATGGGTCCGATTTCTGTGAAGAGTCCAACCTAGAAGGAAAATGAGTGGCCCTTGCTTTTTCTTTTGTGTCCAAGTCTTCTAAGCTCCTCATCTTCCTCTGAGTCCTCATAAATTCTCCATGTATTGAAACCACACCAAATTGTAACGTTTTCCTTTCTCTTTTTTCAAGCTTTCGTTTTAAGGTAAGCAAATACAGTACAGTAGTGAAGAGCTGAGGCCTGGGACTTGTCTGTCCAGGATTTCAACACTTGCTGGCCACTAGACTTAGTTTCTCTAAGCCTAAGCTTCTATAAAAAGGGGGAAGAGCACCCACCTGTCAGTCACTGTGAGGCGTTACACATTACCTGGCTCACAGTAACTACTCCATCAGTGGATGCTACTGTCATCGTGACCATTAACACGGACGGACGTGCCCCTGAGACAGGACCCTTTGACAGGTGAGAAAACTGAAGCCCAGAGGAGTGACGTGGGTGGCCAAGGACGCACAGTTAGCAAGTGGAGTTGGGACCCACCCTACATCTTCTGAGGGACCGTCCACTTCCTCCCCATGTGTGGTCTCACCTTGTTGACCTGAGTGACGACAGCATCCACGACTTCCCCTTTAAAGGGCCGGAAAACAATGGCCTTGTACTTAACTGGGTAAAGGACAAAGCCCCTGCCTGGCTGGATCACACCAGCCCCAATATTGTCGATGGTGGTGACAGCAATGACAAAGCCATACCTGCGAGGAGGATGACAAAGAGAAAGGCCCTGTGTGCAGAAGAGCCTCTAACACCATCTGCAACAAGAATCAGAGACAGCACAAAGGGGCAGCTGATGGCACCCCTGCCCCAGAGCTCAGTGGCCAAGAACGACAGGACGCTGATCGGTATCTGTAACGCCAAACACTGCTCTCATAATGTCACAAAAAAAGGGCCAAGCACGCTGCAGTCCTTGAGCCAAGAGACCCTCAGAGTCCCTGGGAGGAGCCTATGAAAATGCACATTTCCAGCCCTGTCTTGAGTCCTGAGTATGCCGTGATGGGATGCGGCTCAGGAACCTGCTGTTCAAAAAATGCCCCAGGTTATTTTAACGATGGAGGCCCAAGTACTCCACAGTGCTAGGCTCCTCCCAGCTCACGCACACATGTGCGAGTCCTCCCTCTGCAGAGCCCAGAGATGTGCCATGTCAGGTCCCTGGGCATGGGGGGCAGGGAAAACCAGCAGAATCACAGACGGAGGGCAGACACGGGAACGGTGATTAGAGTGTGACTCCACCAGGGCTGGCCTCCCTCTAACTTTGAGGTCATAGTTCCCAGCGACCAACACGGGACCTGGCACACAGGAGAGCTGCAGAAATGTTGGCGGAGCGAATGCATGGCCAACCTCAGCTGAGGGGGAAAGCCTTGTGATCCAGCTTTGCAGAAGGCGCCCGGGGAACCCGAGGCAGAAGCCACGGATTGCCTGGGCGCCTAGGAGTGTGGGAGGGGGCTCCCCAGAGTCGGTGGCAGGACCCTGCAGAATGAGGAGCTGGGGGCGGGGCTGCTAGCGGCGCGGACAGCGCGGCACTCACTTGCCGGTGCAGGTGCCCTCCACCTCGGTGAAGAGCTTCTGTTTCACCGTGTTGAGCAGGTTGGGGCCGAAGTAGCGCGGGTGCAGCAGGATCTCGTGCTCCAAGGAGATCTGCGGGGAAAGCGGGATGGAGACCAG